ATATCTCCGAATACATTCATCATACATAATTTAAATGTGTTTATATATATATATGTTTTTTTTTTGTTATATTTGTGGACTTACATATACACTGTACACTCTAGTATTTTCGAAAATATTTACAACTTACAACACTACAACCTTAAATACAAATTTACAAAAAATAAATGTAATAAGTGTAATAATAATATAAATACTTTTAACCTTAAACATTTTTAGATAAACATTTTTCAAATTTCTTAACATTTTTAATTACAATTTTCAGCCCCAATCATCTTACGGCCATTCAAACCTCTGGAAACAGTCTTCCAATTATTACTGCTAAAAATCGCATACTCTTTTTTAATTTGTATAAAGTCTACCGGAACTTTGAAAATCCTTACAGGTATTAGCTATATGTGGAACAGGGAAAGTGCTAAATCGGCACAAAAAGTTGCCCTTTCGTATTTGAATAAGTTATCCGTTATTTTCGGTAAAACGTAGACAATAGGCACTAAGGCCCTCATATTCGGTATCTGGGGCTTGAAGACTAAAGGTACACTTTTGTAAGGGTTCATACCGACTTCTTCATTACTTTTTGATATATGCCATGCAATAAAGTGTGACTCGGACTGTTCCATTTGAACTGCGCGCAAAGCGCATTGATAAGCAAATATTTCCAGACTGGTACAACTTCTTTTTATGTTCGTGTGATGTTTGATGTACATATGTCAATTAGTGTTTGGCAGCTATCTTTTTACGTCGCGAAAAGATTGTCTGGCGATTTTTACCATGGAGAATAATCCAATAGAATGAAGACTTCGAAATCGTTGAAAAAGTGAATGGCGATAACATCGAAAAACTATAAGGAACACTGCATGAAAATCATCGTGTTGGCATCAGAGAGATAGCAGAGGCTCTTGCAACTCTTATGACTCGACTCAACACATTTTGGTTAATGTTTTGGGTATGAAAGGTGTAATGGTAGACTCGTACCACAATACCTGAAACTTCTGCAAAAACGACGTCAAGTTATGGTGAAAAGAGATAATTGACAATGTAGCTGAGTACCCTACATTCATCAAACATATCATTACTCGTGACGAGTCGTGGGTTTATGAACTGTCCAACAATTTAGCGAATGATGCACCAAAAATGAGCCGAGACAAACAAAAAAAAAATTCGCTGAGAGCACTGAAGGCTATTCCAGCCGAGGTTTATAACAAGAGTATGGAAAATTGGACTATACCATAATTTGGCATACTTGTATTAACTCAGAACGAGCGACGATGATAATAAGAGTTTTTATTCAAATACGTGAGCATATTTTTTTTGATCAGTACGCTCAAATTTGATCAGATGGTACATTGTAAAGTGAAATAATATATTGAAATTTAAAATGGTGTCATATGGGAAGTAAGCGTGATTGTACGCTCAAATTTGATCAGATGGTACATTGTAAAGTGAAATAATATATTGAAATTTAAAATGGTGTCATATGGGAAGTAAGCGTGATTGTACGCTCAAATTTGATCAGATGGTA